AAATCAGTCAAGCTTGATATTGGTTTATTAATTAAATGAGTCTGAGCTTAAAAGCCAGATATGTGGCTCGGATTGGCTTGTTAATAGCTCCGTGGTAAGATTATAATATCACTTTATCCCTACTATGGTTTTTGAATCGACCATATAATTTCCCTGTAGCCTTATATAAAGTGTTAGGCACTTCTGTGTGTCTAGTATGTGAAAAAAAATTTAATTAACCTTGTCACTAGAGGTGATTTTAGTCCATTTTCCACTTTGTGTAAATCCACAAGTGGTTAAATAGATATTCTTGAATAATAGAGACTATTTGGGTAATACGCAAAAATAAAGAGGGATGAAACACTAATTTTTCACTGAAATTATAGCCAATGAAGTATCGACAAAATTTGCTTATTTTCCTGAATCTTTTTTATGATTATAATTAAATTGCATTTCCACTTCTTTTCTACTGCCTTTATCCACGGATGAAATAAAGTGACAAATTCGAGAGGGAAATTTAGCGCATGAATTGCTAATTAGATCATCCCCTTGATTTTATCTATCACTTAATCCTCTTATAATTAAAAAATATTAACTTAACGCCCTACGATTTTGTACATAAAATTGAAATTGATGGAAAGCCCTCTAGTAGCAGCTTTAGTTAAAAATTTCAATTATGCCGTTGTCTAATACTGATCACTATGAGGTTCCAATCTTAAAAAAAAATTAATAAAGGAGGAGTGGAATCTAAAAAATGGGGGAAAGGAGCTGATTTGATTTCAGATCCTTTAATTCTTGAAGTCTCATCCATGAATTAGACACTACGAGACTCTAATCACATTACATAAAATTATTTGGGGACACTTTTGAACCGTAATGGAATTGAGTAATATAATGGGAAGCCACAATGGCTAAAAATTGATTTTACCAAATTTTTATGAAAATTTTAATACGCAATAATATTCTTGGAAAATAGGATGCTAATAGGCCGTTTTGATAAACTTGGCAATCTGGACATGGATGATCATTTAAGTGATGTACGTGACGACATAAGAAGAAAATTTAAACCAAGTGTAGAAATGCTGCCCCAGAAGAAAATTCTGCCACAATTACCTTCTGCAACAAGAACACGTTTTAGAGCTTATGCCTTCTTTACAAACCATTTCTCATATATTATTCTGCTAAACAAAACCTCTAACGAGAGCTACTTTTCCCTCCCCTTCCACTTCTGTACTGCCTGATCTTCATTGCTTCCACCCTGAACCACAATCACCCTACACCGCCTTATGGACCATGAAGAAATCAATGAAGAGCATGCACCACCGCCCAATCAAGAACTACCGGCACCGATACCCAAGAAACGGTTCCCAAGAAACACCCTGATTTTGAGGTTGGCTACTGCCTTCTCTGTTCTCAAAACAAGCATACTGAAAATGGCCTCAAAAGGACACAATAAAAGCTGTCACACCAAGTACCTCAAGAATGAGTGCGGTACTTGCCAGAACGTCTTCAAAACCCAGGCCGCATTGCAACTGCACAGAAGGCCTGGCCCACCTGATCAGTAACACTTTCTCTGATCTATCCCCTGTGAGAAAATTGATCAATCATATGAGGGGAAGGGGATGGTTAATATTCTTGGGAGAAGCCAAGGACAAAGTTGCTGCTACGTTACACTTAAAGGATAACTCCATTCAGGCGCGCTCTGATTGCAACTTTGCTCGTTACGCTTGGGTGCATAATCGACAAGCAGCTCTGAGATTTTTCAAGAATCAATTTTTATCAGAAAGATCTAAAATTTTTGCCTTTTAGTCCGTGGAAATATGTGTATAGATGTTGATTTCTTTATGGTGAATATAAAGAAGAATTTTCTGCTTTTAATCCATAGAAAAATGTGCACAGATGTTGTTTTCATTAAGGTGAATACAAAAAAAAAATCTTGATTATGATCTTTGGTTTTAAGGGCTTCATGTCATAATCTGATAGCAATCTTCAAGATTCAATTTTTCTTGGTCTTTAGACGAAAAAATCTCAAACTTTTATGTTTGTTATCCATATATATGTGCACAAACAATGATTTCTTTACTCTGATCGAATCTGCTCTGTTGCAATGAATGCTGCTGCGAACTTGCTTGGAAATTTTGAAAATGTTCTTGTTGCTGATTTTTGGATTACATGTTGAATTGCAGTATATATCTAATATCACGAGAATCGTCAAACAAAGACAATCTGATGTTTAAGCAGATAACCATTATAGTTATCTATAAGTCTAAGGAAGTAATTATTATAGTTAACTGACTTGTTAGTCTTTAGAATCAGGTTTCCAGACTGCTTTAGAAGGAATGAGATATTCAGGTTTTCCATGCGGCGCGTATTGTTCTGGAGTTTTTGATAGGAGAAATATGTTTGGTTATCAATTAGCATTTGAGCTCACTAGTTTTGCACTGTCCTTTTTTTATGACAACTTTGACTGAAAAGCTAAAGTCTTCCTTTATCCAATATGCAGGGAAATAAAGTGTGATAGGAAGTATTTAGACATATTACTTGTATTCTGGTAAGTCAAGTGTTATTAGGAGGGTCTCATCGGCTAGTTCTGTCTTTGTTCTGGGGTTGTTCATGATTTCTGTAATCAGAATTATAAAATTAATTTGGAAAAATTGAGTAGAATTCTGTTTTTGTTTTTAATCAGTAGTACCTGTTTACTCTTCTAATCAATAATTTCTTTCACCTCTCTGTCCTTCACTCTCTTTCCTTTAGCTTTGATTTTTTTTCCCCTTTCAGCTGCATATTTCCCTGCATCTTTCATCTCTCTTGTATAATAGTTAGGAAGAAAGGAGTTCAATTTTTGTTATAAAATGGTAAATGAGCTTTTACTATCTAGTTTAATGAGGTATTTGATGGGAAACTGTGTTTCCTTTTTCATTTGTAGATTGGCAAGTGGAAAAGCTCTGTTAATATTTATTTATATATTTATTTATTAAGTAAATCTTCCATGGACTAGAAACATTTGTGTAGTAATTGATGTTTGTGTGCAAAAGATTCATATTATACACCATAGATGTTTAGCTTAAAGTGCTTTTCTTTTTTAAACTGAAAGATTAAGAGCTTTTGATGGCTATAGTGATCTACTAAATTTTGCATGTGGCTCCAATAAACAGAATACAAGAATCCTGAATTTCGCTGCCTTTATTCTTTATTCTTTCTAGTTTTGGGCTTAAAAAAATAAAAATAGGTTGAAAAGAGAAAAACAAAAAAAAAAAAGAAGATGTTTTTGGGACTTGCAATCTCGTTAGTCACAAGACTTTTGGGTGTCATTTTTAATGGTTAATTAGTGAGTTTCAATAAAACATGATACGAAAGATCTTTTGTGACTATTATTTGCATGTCACAAGTAAATTCTAGTTTTTTGACTTTTTATTACATTCCAAATACAAGTCATAAAAAGTATTCTTACAAGTCAGAATTTTAGAATGACCTTCATGTACAGTCACAAAAAAGTTTGTGACTACACGACTCATGTCACAATGTGGTCACAAAAAGTTTTTGTGACTACCTAAACCTTTTTATGACCATCATTGACGGGTCACAAAAACAACATTTCTCAACTTTTTCTAGTACTAGTGAATCTTCTATACCGGGTAATTTCATTTTCTTTTTTCTTTTTTTTGTCTGTAAAGATGTCTAGCCAATTTACGTACACACGTCCCATTGCAACTCAATTTGCTGTTATCATGGAACCATTTTTTCACATAAATCAGGAATTAAAAACCACAGCTTCAACATTTCCACTCCCAAATAGCAGGCCACCACATTGCCATGCCAGTAACATAACATATTTACGCCATATTATATCGTCATGCCAGTAACATAACATATTTACGCCATATTATATCGTCATGCACATCAACCAAGCTCATGAAATGAGAAAATTCTTGAATTAACGAAATATATCTCACAAAGAGCTTTAAATGTTCAACAAAAAATAAAAAATAAAAATCTTTATAAAATACTACAATTTAGTGACACTTAGAAAGAAAAGAAGTTCCAACAAACCAATTCTTGCAAAACTAGAAAACAAATTTGAGCTTCGGACGCTTGGGATCTTCCAAAGGTCGAAAATGGTCTGATATGGAAAAACTAGAACAAGAAAAAGGAAAATCACTTGATGATCAAGTGAAATTTTGGTTTAAAGAAATAATAGTTGGGGATTATTGTAAGTTAAGCTAGTAAATAAGTCCAAACAAACTAACTTGTATGTGTTTTTTAATTACCATTTTGCCCAAAAACCAATTTGGATAGAGGTGTGCAACAAATTTAATTCAGTTATTAAATTGCTTCTCTCAATGTTTTCCCATTACGAATCAAGATTCACTTTAAAAAAACAAACAACTATTTATAATTCAAACAAAGATGTAGCTGAATATTACAAAAGATTCAACGAACCTATGACTAACAGATTTTGGTCCAAAAATTTTGATTCAAAATTTTCATCTCCACAGTTGTGCCAAATTCTTGTTGACTTTTTAAAGGTTTAATTGTTGTACGTGTTTGTTAATTACCATTCTCCCCAAGAATCAATTTGGATAGAATTGTGCAACAAATTTAATTCAGTTATAAATTACTTCTCTCAATTTTGTTCCTGTTACATATCAAGATTCACTTAAAAAACAAAAAGCAAACAACTATATAATTCAAACAAAACACGTAGCTAGTAGTGCAAAAGATTCTACAAACCTATAACACTAACAGCAGATTTTGGTCCAAAATTTTCATCTCCATAGCCGTGCCAAATTCTTGATTGACTTTTTATAGGTCTAGTGGTCGAATGCCTGTTGATTACCTTGCATTCTCCAACAATGATCAACTTGGACAGAAGTGGGCAACAAATTTATTTCAGTTATGAATCACTTCTCTCATTGTTAGATCCTATAACGAACTAAGACTCAATTCAAAACAAAAACAAACAACTATATATGATTCAAACAAAACATATGTAGTACTACAAAAGATTCTACAAACCCATAACAATAACAACAGAGAAATTGTCTCTATTTCCGTGGACGAGTATCATGAGGGTCAGCAGTATTAGTACTGACCCTAGCAACATCCCTAGCACTTGCTTCAGGCTTTTTCCTAGCATACAAAGTGAAGTAAAAGATCGAACCAGCAATAGTAAAGCCAATCAGAGCCATAGTAGTAGGACTATACGGCAAATTTCTCCTTTGATGCAAAACACCACCAGGGTTATGGCCTGGTGGCCTTTGTGAGTTGTCTGCTCTTGCTTTTCTCACATCTTCTGAGCTCATTTTGTGGGTGTCCGCATTGTTCCTCCTCCAATCATCTCCTGCCATTTTTTAACCTCTTTCTTTATTCTTCTTGTTTTTCACAAATACAAAGTTGGGAATTTTGTAAAATCTGAAGTTGGGATTTGATTATATGGTCTATAACTTGTAGTGTGTGACTTTGTGTAATTGGGGAAGTAGGGAGGGCGGTTCTGCCACCTTCTTTTGAATATTGATGGGTTTTTGGGGTGATGAGATTGGAGTTGGACGTGTCAATTTAGAGAGGATTTTGTGGTGACATGTTACATGCTGATGCATTGGCTTTTGTGGACATCTGTCATATTTGAGGAAATTTAGGTGTATTTCCTTGAAGGTTTAACCGACTGGACTCACCACCATAATATTTTATGTTCCATTAAATGATTATTTTTGTTTTCTTGTAGTAGAGGTTGGTTATATTTGTTCATCTTGAGATTTGGCTAAACATCCTCGCATAATTTTAGGTTTTTGCTAAAATCTAGTTTTTTCTTGTTCTCTACTCAATTTGACAGGACCAGCTCAAACTAAGTTATTATTTCTTTTAAAACGGTTATTCTATCTATTTTTTGTCACGGCAAGTTAATATGGAATTACTCTAAGACACAAATACATCAGCAACCTTCTAGCAAATACTCCCTCCGTCCCAGAAAGTGTGTCGCGTTTCGGGACTTGCAATTATTACCAACAGTGCAAGACTTTTAAATGATTTGCTTTAAGTTCCGGCAATATCCGCTTGACTTTCAATGTATTCATATGTGGTTAAATGATAAAAGGGCTACAAGTTGTGATAAGACACGTGAGACCCAAAAGAATGAAATGTCTCCACACTACTTTAGAGGAAAGTGTCATGCACGAGTGTTATTTGTATTTCACGTGGGAGTCACGAACTATTAAGTGCATGTTGGTACTTGGTCGGTGAGCAGAAATGTGTCACATTGGGCCCACTAAAAGATAAGAAAAGGCTGTCACATTAAAGGGTATGGAGCGGAAATGTGCGAAAGTTTTCATTGCCAATTTTAGCAAATGACAATCATTTTGGGACAGATAAAAAAAAAAAGTATGACACTATCAATGGGATGGAGGGAGTAATTCTTTTATCTTTTGATCCTTTTTTTTTTTACCTTTGTATATTAACCTTCTTGTGCTCCCGAACATTGCCCACCAAAATCATGTATTCTGTTTTTTGATATCTATACAATAATAAAGGGAGGGAGGTAGCAATTGGAATACATATTTTGTGTCATTTTTTAACTTCCAATTTTTTTCTTAAAAATTTGATTTTTATCTTAACCACCTAATCACATTGCTAATATAATCTCCCATAACTCCCTTAAATATTGTAACTATCAAATTAGCTATAATTGGATTAAAGAAAAAATTACTAATAAATTGTAATTTTTTCAATGAAGAATTTATATAAAATTTAATTTTGTAAAAAATAATATTAATATATTCATAAAAATTAATAATTATTTCTAATTTGCACACACATTGGGTGTGCTCTAAGCACTAGTATAAATACTTCTATTCCGATTAAGACTAAGAGTTTTTTCTTAGACTTTTTTTATTGTAAGTGAGAGGTCTCAAATTCGGAATCTCTCACTTACACTTCGTCTCCCATATCACCGAAGCCATCCCGCCCTTGATTAAGTCTAAGAGTTACCTTTGAACAATCTACTCTTTTCTATATTTCAACCATTCTTTTTAATACTTAATTTACTTGTTTTAGTTAAAAACTTCTTGTGAAATTGTAAGCCACAGTCTACTAGTGATTTTTTTTTTAAGCGGATCTTTATAGTACTTTATAGTTTAATCTATGGTACCAATTCCCCTGGTGATGCCTAGAGAAATTTGAGGAAATGTGCAGGGACGCAACCTGTAATTTTAAATTGAGGGGGTGAAACATTGACAGCTAAATACTGACTCATTGTTTTTTTGGATTAAGCATACATGGATAATTTCAATGACAATGCATGCATTCTGTACACCCCACTAGTTGAAACTCTACTTGAACTGACTACCATCATTTCTTGCTCTATTTTCTTTCTTATAAATTCTTATGTTACTTATAAGATAAATCAATTTGTTTCCTTCTATTTCGATTTGAAAAATATTTTTCTGTTCAAATCTTAGTCACTGTGAATGAAAGGAGTGGACAGATCTTAGTACAAGCAAATTGAGAGCATTTGAAGGTATATTGACTATTGATAATGTTTTATTTCTATTTTTCATGTATTTTGGTAGGTGTCGAGCCTGTGCAATAATAAAGGCCTACTCAACGAAAATATAGATTTACATACAGCAGTAAGCAGGGTCGATTACACAGAGACTGGGGAAAATTTGCTCTTTTTCAAGTTAAAGCGGAGTGGGGGGATTTTCAAGATTTAACGACTAGTAAAAAATCACAAAGATAATAAAACATGCAAAAGAGATTGAGAAAGGCAATTAATGGGGAAAACTCTAGCCAATGTTACACTTCAGAGATGGCTCAAGTAATTCATCCTTGATGCAATTATAATTCCAATATTCATTAATAAACAGGTTTTTAACTGTCGAAACGATTTGACAGTCAGTTTCTCCTTACTGTTTCGATAATCAAGATTCGATCATTGACTATTTCCCTAATTTAGGAATAATTCTAGGTACGACCATAGGATTTAATTCCTCAATTACATTAGAAACTAGAGAAACCTTGTTCTAATCAATAAACACGCTACGAGGGTTTATTTAAATTAGATTGTACGTTTCCGCAACACAAACCCAACTATGCTAGTTGCTACCAGGATTAGAGTAGTCAAATAATTACGGATTCAACTATTTCAATTAGCAAATAGATTACATGTATAATTAAATATTGCGCACCTATTCAATCACACACACTAATCATACTCTATAAAGCAAAAAGCGTACAAATATCAAAGAATAGAGGAGATAAATAAAATCAATTAGATCTCACAGTGATAGCTGAACCAAATTCTCGGTGTTTCTTGACTAGAAAAGAAACTTAGTTGCGCATGGACAATTGAAACAATTCACACCAATTTTCCAAAGCCAGCCACATAAGTCTTTGATAAGAGAAATACTAGAGAAACAAAAGATTAAAAGAAAGAGCCCTGCGGCTCCCTTCTAGGTATCAATCATGTGGGATGCCGGCTTCCCCTACTATAAGTACTACCAATTTGGTTTCTTCCTTGGTCAATCGAGACCAGAATGTTAATTGACTAAGGTAACTCTAAGAATAATGCCAATCGTTTCCTAATAAGACATCTAATAAAAAGTGACAGTTTCTTAATCTTCAACCAATACTCCCCGTAGACTCCATCTTGATTTGGAAAACTTGCGCTTGACAATCAACTCCAAGAAAATCAGTCATTTTTAGCACTTTTTACTCCAATACCCTACAATTAATATAAAACAGCAAATATAAATAAAATCCGACAATTAAAATAATATTTGGCTAAAATCAAGGAGAAAATAATTATAAATTTTGTAACAAATTATGACTTATCAATTTCCTCCACACCTAAACCATGCTTGTCCTCAAGCATGAGAACACAAATCAAGCAATCAAATTCAAACAATGGCTATTACTCGAACCATCTATTGCCAAAATACAATTAAAAAATATTGTCAAGTATTAGTGGCAATTTTCAAAAAATATCTTTCTAGTTAGCTTTCAAGATCAAAGATTCTTTCAATTTATGACTAGCTAATCTAAGAATATAAAATATTCAACCAGCATATCAGCAAATGGTTCGACTATTAAAAAAATCTCAATATTAAAATTCATGGATCAGCGGGCTAACAATTCATTCAAACACTTCCACATTTTTCACTATTAACATGTATTTTTTTTGTTTTCTAAAATTTTCCCACATTTGATTGTTTTTTTTTCAGGGGAATACTTAGCCTTTAACCATTTAAGCATTTTGACGCGAGCTCTGACATTTGTCAAATGAAGGAGCCCGATTACTCGGCCCTCATCTCTTAAAAATTACATATTCATAACTATCGTCGTTTTTTGACGCTAAAATCGACACTTGTAGTGAAAACCTCCGGTTATTAGGCAACGATATTAGCAGAGTATAGTCCAATACTATTCATAAATAAGCACCAAATTAAATTAAAAATCACACAAACCCTCTTCATTTCTTAAACGTGGAGAACTAAGATTAATAGTTGAACCAATTTACATAAAAAAATGCTAGACAAATATTTACAATACTTAGAAAAGTTAACCAAAAGTGCAAAAGTCACAAAATCTCAAGTATTTACCAAAGAGATACCCTTAAACTTAACTATGTCATACTTAACACCTTAGAATATAAAATCTTACCAATAGAAAATTTTGAAACATCTAACCATCGTTTATCAAAAACAATCACGAATATGCACAAGTTGTGGCAAAAATTGGATAAAATTCGACAAAGTCAAACAAAAACTTCCAACAAAAATGTCTACACTTGCACTTTTTCAACATATTATCAATATACTACTCTCTCCACACTTAAATATTATATTGTCCCCAATGTAAGAGATAAAGAATAGAATACGAAACAAAAGGGACATTGAAACTTCCCTGAGCACATAATGGAAGGTCTCAAGCAGCTATGACATAGGTGGGAATGGTGGTGTGAAACCAATATGATGGATCTCTACTGCCCCAAACCAAAATCGGAGATGCCAACAGATAGCGAAAGCGGAGATGGTCATGGGTGGTGGCTAGCGACGGCAGCATGGTATGGTAGTGACGGTGACGAGCAAAAACGGCGCAAGCAGCGGCAATGGCGTGCGAGTGGTGATTGGCAGCCGAGTATATTCGCGGAGAGAGGGAGAGATAACAGCGGCAGCAGGAAAGGAAGAAAAGGGGAGGGAGAAGAGAAAAAAAAAGAAAGAAAAAGAGAAGAAGGAAAAGAATAGGACAACCGTCGTTTAATTGATAGGAAGTAAGAAAGGGCAATTTTATCCTTTTACCCCTTTTCTTTAACCGCTGTGTTAGACGTGGGTAGGTCTAACTGCCCTTGAATCTT